TTGAACTTTTTCTTTTGTGCGTCAGTCTTGCGTTTAAATTTGTCAGACTTTTTGAATCGCGATACGTCCTGTACAAGTATTGAAGCATAGTTTCGGGAGTGGGTGGGGGAAGGGGTTGTATTTCACGTTTTGCTTAGGATCTCGAGTGCTTTTACTAAGAGTCGGTACGCAGTCAAGTCATCATCAAATAATTTATTGCTGAATGCTTTGCAGGAGAAATGCTACCAGTACTGGCCATCCGAGCGGTCCGTCCGGTACGACACGTTCGTCGTCGAGCCCATAACCGAATACAACATGCCGCAATACATACTCAGAGAGTTCAAGGTGACCGACACGATCGACAACGGTTCGCGCACCGTCAGGCAATTCCAGTTCACCGACTGGCCGGAGCAGGGCGTGCCCAAGTCGGCCGAAGGGTTCATAGACTTTATCGGACAGGTGCACAAAACGAAAGAGCAATTCGGCCAAGAAGGTCCGATAACCGTCCATTGCAGGTATGTACCTACATAAAACAATAATCGAATATTTTAAGATAAAAATTTGATATCCAAATCAAGTTATTGGATTCGTTGTCAAATTATTAAAATCGTGGTTAATTAAATTGTTGATGTTTTCGTCCGGTCTAAGACGACGACGACGACGACGAATTAAAATAACGTTGAATACTACACGGCCATTTCCGGCCAAAATCGATACATTTATTTGAACTAATGACAAAAAAATTGCTTACAGCGGCGGCGTGGGCAGGACGGGCGTGTTCATTTCATTGAGCATCGTATTGGAGCGGATGCAATGCGAAGGCGTAATCGATCTCTTCCAGACGATCCGGATTCTGCGGACGCAGCGTCCGGCCATGGTTCAAACGGAGGTTGGTCTTCCTGCCATATAATAATATTGTAGAACATTTCGTAACATTTTTCATCCCCCTATAATCACTGCAATACCGATCCTAACCCCTCCCGTTTAGGGGGTGACACGGTGTACTTTGGCGCGTCTATTTTTGTCTGCGTCTTATTTTCCTACCATAGAGTCTGTTATTGCGCCGTTGGCAAAATATAGAGGAAGTAAATAAATGATACGTATGCAAAAGCTGTTTCCAATTTACCAGTCTGTTTAATTCATTGAAATATTAGGTTCGTTCCTACATAACAAATAACAATCAACCCCGTCCATATAGAATACATTGTATACTTACCGTGACGAATAAAAAGTTACAGCTCGATCGTAACTTAGTGCGATGTGAAAAACCCCTGGCCTGCTAGAATTTTGGCGCCCCTATGAAAACAAAAAAAAAAATTCAAAATGCGCCACCGCCCTAACCGGTTTTTTGTTTGTTTTTTCTCCCGCACAGGAACAGTACCAGTTCTGCTATCAAGCGGCCCTCGAGTACTTGGGATCTTTCGACCAATACTCCGACTGAGACAGGCCAGACGTGTTCACCTACACTGAGCACGCGGTTTGAGAAAATAATATAATAATAATGTGATTCAAATATTATTATTACGTTTACAACAACGCGCACGTGGACAACCGGAACGCCGCCGTCGCCCGCCACACATAGATTATTAATACTATATTATTATTACTATTATTATAATTATTATTATTATTATTTTAGTCGGCTGTATATATATAGACACATACTATACTATATATGTATATAATGTATGTAATAGTCTTATATATATATATATACGAGCACTCGCACACAGATTAGTGGTGTCTGCAGTGTCCGTCTGTTGTAAAAATCTAGTCTCGAAACACATCACAACATATACATACACACATACTCACTCACACTGCGAACGCACATCACACACGTGTACGTAAAGCGTTTAGGGGGGTGGGGGGGGGGATGAGAAAACGCCTCTTATGCCCCGCCGATACGCGTGCTTTCAAAATATTGTGTAATAATCACGATAGTATATTGATATCGCGTCATCGTCTTATGCGATTCGACGCATGTGAACAACCAGTCAGTCGACCGCTGTTTTTGTACTTAAAACCCTAATTTTCTTCCATGTTTTTGTTTTTTCTTCGTTTTATCATTCGACTCGCGTAGTGACAGCAGCGACGAAGATTACCCCCCCCCCGAATCGAACCTAGTGCGGTGGTGTACCAATCAAATGACCATATCCCCCGCCGAGTTATCATTATTATTATTACTACCGATGAGCTCTGTACCAATCTATACCGTTACACGGTTCTATTTTATAGGCATAATTATCGTTGCTCATAACGATTCGTTAATATTGTTATGTACCTACACGTGTGTGTGCTGGGTGTGTATCGACAATTTTTTTTCCGTAGGGATCGTGTATAGACCGAAGACTTTCGTAACGTGTAAATTTAGACAATTTTTAAACTCATAGTGACTCGATATCGTTGTATAAAAAAAATCCATCGACTGATGTATTTAAGGATAATACCTTTTTGTGTTCCACGGTTAATTTTATACTTATATATATATATTATTTGTAATATTATTATTTTTATTATTATTTTTTACTTTTTTAACTTCTATTTAAGTTCCGATTTTTTTTTTTTTGATTTTTATTATTATTAATCTTATAGTTGGAGGTTAACGTTCTTCGTCCGACTTTATTATAAATGTTCTTTTGTCCTTTTGTACCCATTTCTACTATTATTTTTATATGAATATTAATTTTATGCTTTTTTTTCTTATTTTAATTTGTGTTACCATCCCCTCTCCCCACCCGGAGGATACTTCGACCGATGATGAACATCACATTTGCGTTAAATATTTGTACTATTTTTTTTTTAATTTTTGTAAAAAATAAAAATAAAAAAAGACAATATTATACCAACGTACCCGTCCTTGAGGATAAGCGTGTTAGCAGCATATTTCTCATCCAGTTTGCGTTGCTCGTACGTTTTTTTCCACCCTTTTTTCTATTAACATTTCGGAGTCGCTCACGCTTAATCGAAAAACAAAACAATCACTCTTGCAAACATTTGGCTTTTTCTATGCTTGTATAGGTATAAAATATGTTATACACACAAATCGGTCGGTTAACCGAATAATCGTTTCGGCATATCATATTATATAATAATAAATAATAATTAAAAAGAAGAAAAAAAGATAATCGTAATCCTTGAGCAACATGTTTTTCTTTTGTACATAGTATTTAATGATTAGGACACATTGATTATTATTAAAAAATGAAATTGTATAAATAAATAAATGACAAATTCTGCGAAGTGATTATTTAACGTTGTTGACGATTTGATAGTTGAAAATTGTATTGTAAAAAAAAAATATATTTGAAGGTAAAATTAATAATACTAACTTGTATTTGTCACCAGCCAAACGGTCCATTTTAGAGTATCTAATTGATTACATTGTTTATAGAAATATTAAAGAAATAAAGATAATATGGATTTGACAATTTTATTTATTTGTTTATTTATTTGTTTGCTTAACTTTATAGTTTATATTCTGAAAAGGTTGTTAATCGCAGAAGAGTTTGTCTTCTGTGCCAAAAAATCGTCTTTCCTCGTCAATGTTATCGGGGTTAGGTGTGTTTTTAGAATAATTTTTTGTCGATTTTGAAAGTGCATATAAGTTTCACAGTCCCTATGATGCCACGATCACCTGGGTGGTATTTAAAACAAAAAAATTGAACTACATTTTAATTGAGTTGAGATGGTATTTTTCTCAATATTAACATTTTTTTTTATTATTTATTTATTATAATTAAAATGTTTCAACATATTACATGTTATACAAGTTTGTTATTTCAATTAATACAATTTAGAATTTAGAATTTAATTGGAATATGGTATGGATGATCGGAAGATAGTGTGGTGTTAATTAAGGAGTGGGAGTGATGAGGAGTGGAAATTTATTTATTAAGGATGTTAAAGCAGCTAGGTGGGGGTTTAGTATTAATTTTAGCTCGTTAATGAGATTTGTGACGATTTGAAGAAGTCGATCGGATGGTGATGTATTTGCTGTGGATTCGGCATATGTAAGTTTTCCCTTGGGTTTGAGCGTAGCGTATCATGCCCACTTCTGTGGGGTGCAGGTGGTACAGCTTGAGTTTGTGTGTGTTTTAAAATACTTGTGCATTGTGTAGCATATTAATTGGTGAGATAAAATTACAATAGAATATTTTTAAAGAAGGAACAGAAGTCACATTGCTATATAATATTATTCAAATGTACATCATCAATGAATAGGTCACCGCAATAGATGTATCAAATTGAAATTCAATGATATAATGTTACATACTGAAAAAAACTCAATTTAGAAGTGTTAGCCTCTATTTTTAAGGGCGTAATATCATTAATTTCTAATAGGTATGTGCCTAATATTAGTGTTCTTGTTTTTCTCTAAGCAGTGTGGTATATTGAACTAATATTTTTGCAAAGAGCATATATCTTAAATCATATAATTTATTATCAGAATATAATGTACAATATTGTTATCATCGTATGAGTCAATATTAGTATACCATAGAACGGTTTTTAATACTATTAATACCTATTACCTTAATAGGTCTATGGGATACATAGCTTAAGATTAATCTAAATATTTTGAAAATGTTATTGTGCATGGACAATGGTAATTAAATAACAATCGGACATATTTTCAAGCATGTTTATGAGGATCAAGAAGCATGAGCAACAAACGACTTTGCAGACTTTTGCTGGACGCTTAACAGCTGCACAGTCACCGGGAATACGGGAAATCCGGAAGAAAGTACCATCATATTGAAGAATTGGTTGAACGAGAGCACAAAAAAATGACTTTTCATACCTAATCTTTGGAGTGTCATTATATGAACCCAAGGGTTTTTAAAAGCTTCACGACTTTAGAGACATAATAAATAGGTAACAGTACATAGAAGATGTATGAGTTTTGTAAATAATAATTTTTTTATATATTTAAATTTGTAATAATTATATGTTAGTACAGTATAAGTGCTGTGTGTATAATAATAATAAAAAACTGTGTATAAATGAATTTTTTGAAAAAAAAAAAATATAATATATAATAATAAAAATGTCGCTTCTTCGCGAGTAACAAAATATAATTGAATAATCTTAGCAAGTCATCGTGATAGTAGTACGCAGATGTATAATATCATTGTAGAGCGTGTGTGTTTTTGATTTACAAAGTTGCTGTCAATTACATATGCCTAGAGTTGCCAAAAGATCCCAATCCCGACTGAGAGGCACCTTTGTTGAATCCCATTTGAAGGTTGAGGTGACCTTCGGATGCTCTCAACTGGTCTTCGGTAAATTCTCTCTTATTAGCATCAGCCATTTTAGGTCCCAATGCCGGGCCAGTGTACTCCGGGTGCTTTTGGGTCTGCAAACAAATAAGTTAAATGTATTATTAAAACTATTATAGTTATTATTTAATAATTATTAATGTATAGGCGTAATCAGGGGCAGTGCATCCATCCCCGACACGTTATATCAAGAACAAAGATAGCGATTACTTATTTGTTAAATCTTGATGTTCAAATTAGGATTATTAATTTTTAATATTGATGCTGCACTTAAATGTTCAGTTATAAGTCAAAATAAAAAAAGATTATTAACAAACTTAATTGTAACAGCCGGGGGATGTTTATATTCTAAATAAAGTATTTATTTTTTCCAAAAAACAAAAAAAATGTACAACCAACAACTCAGTTATACCTACCAAATTATCAATACAATACAAGTTCTGTTTAAAATTACTTCAATATTACATGGTATAATAAGTAAACGCGGTTTATATGTATGGTAACTCCATGTTGATGGAATTAGATTGGGAAAAAATGAATTTTCATACACGTGAAGAAAAACTAAAATGCAAGCTTAATTGATAATAAATTCTTAAGAAGATCAGAGCATCATTTGTTTTCTCTCTCTGACCCACACGCAGCAACATGGCAAAGGTATGTTCACCAGAACCAACCCTGTGTCGTATCATATCCATTATGAAATTTTAAGTTGGGAACATTACCTGTGTAATTTTTGTGATATTTATAAGCGCATTAAAATTTTTATAATGTACATGCTCATAACTCGCAGAAAAATTTTAATATCCAACGCATAACGACACGAGTTATGTTTGTAAATTCAAGTTTGATAGTGGTTGGATTCCCTCTACTACTACAATGAATAGGGTTGGTTCTGCTGGACGTTACTTTGGCATGTTACACGTTGGTCACGAATAGTACATAGTTTTAAATATAAATTATGTTTCAGGCACAACTGCAGGTCCGTGTACATATTATTGTAAACCAGGTAGTGGTGGTGTGAACTTACAATGCGAGCGAGGGCGTAAAGGCAGAGCGTCACCTGCGGTATGTTTCTGCGTTCGAACAAATCGGCAGTTTGGAAAATCTCTTCTTCCGGTACACCGTATTTTTTGATGGCCGCTTGAAATCTACAAAATAATTATATATATATATGAGCACACGTGGTCGAATTAGAGTAATATGAAAATTAGAAATAGCGCGTATTCGTGTTTCAATTTCAATATGTATAAGAGTACCTGCAGTATATTATAATATACAATATATAGGTACCTGGTACATCCAAGTACTCCAACTACTCCAAAAATAATCGGCTACAGAATCAGAAATTTAAAATATATGATAAAAAGGTAGTATTTTTAACAAATAACAAAACCCTTTGAGCGGCGGATTAGGAATGGAAAATCTCAATGAAAAATTATTAAATTCTGAGCGTCAACTTATTACATTATAAGAAGGTATCACTTTATTCTTATTAATATGACCTCGATTTATAAAATATTCTATACCTCTGAATAGAAATATGTTAGATATTTTCAATAACGTTAAGAGGACGTTATACCCGCATGTGTTGTCTCCGTCTTACGAGAGCATAACATATCAAATTTTCTGTTCAGCACTGTTGGATTAAAATTTAGAGTGATTGACCTCTTATTAAGACTATAAAGGTAACATCATTATTATGGAGAGCATCCCATGGGCTTTTTATTGCATTTTAATTTTAAAACGAGTTATAGTTATATAGTTATACTAACCTAACGAGTAGTTTAAGATGTAAAAACAATTTACAATTTTAAAATACTCATAACTCGTTTTAAAATTAAAATATAATAAAAAACTCATGAGATGCCCTCCATAATAATCTTACCTTTAGCTTTAATAAAAGAACAATTCACTAATTTTTAAACTGACAGAGCTAAATGTGATCTTCTGAGATTAGACTTTGGTATATTACGCACTTGCGAGACAGAGACAACACATCTTAATAATTTTCGCGATAATGATTTAAGATTCAGCCGGTAATAACACCGAAAAAAATGGGTTTTTTTTCGATTTTTGACTATCGAATTTCAACGTTTATAATATACAACTCTTACATCCTCTTATTATGAATCATTTGCGATACAAACACAATGTGTGTAACTTTTTTTTAGTTTCAAAGAATTAACTATACGACCGAGTATTGTTTAAAAAAATATTTTCTTATTTTTCAATACATCGTGGCAATTGCAAATAATAACAATTATATTTAAACCATTGCTTATAAATACTATAGTATTTATAATTAATGTTTATACTAATTATTTAACGTTCGTAATACTTTATAGTACGTCTTGTGTTCATCGGTCATCGACAAATTCGCAGAATTGTTGAAACTGACGCGATAATTTAATATTGTACGAAAAAGAAAACTTGAACTTAAAACAGCAAGTGGATCGTTTTTTAAACGTATAAAGTTTGAGTTATGTATATAGAACAACGTACCGTTGAATGTTCTCCATCAGCTGGAAGTTTGAACCCTTGGTCTGTATTTTTTTCACCGATCCGGGGGCTATCTTGTTGATGAGGTTGCAAAGCACAACACCGTCCTTCAGATAATCCTCGTACGAGACGCCTCCAGGAATCGGCTCACCCAAAACATTACCAATCCACTCCAACATCTCTTTTTCTTGTTCCTTGTTTTTAGCCTGCCAAAAAATCGTTTCTTCATCAAATAGATTTCGGTATACACCACGCATCAACACGAAAACATGATACACCCGGATATAACTCAATTACTTGTATCACTCAGAATCCTATACATATTTTTGAATTCTGTTTGTGGGACATGAGACTATATTATTAGATCATAAGTTTCTACGACTTACGATTTCTGAACTCTTGTATTTTGCGCATGCGCAACATTTTCACTCTTTCTGTGTACTCTGTTTTTAACATTTAACATACCCAGTGCTGTGTCGCATTACATAACAAATTTTTTACATACAACATACTTATTTGTATTTCATTGATTTTTGTACTACACGAGACGTTACGACTTACGAGTCATGATACCAACGTCAAATACGTCCCACGAAAGTTTGTTTGACGATGTTTTAGTTTCAATTATATGAAAATCGTTTTAGAGAAAAAAAATTAAAAAATGATTTGATAAATTCTTCAAGTTCTTTTTATCGATATTAAAAAATAACGTATGATAGTGCTCGGTACATTTCTCTTAACTAAACTTGGCTTGAATTGGAATTTGCCCAGCCTTGGACTAATATTATATTAATATTATACATACGAACTGTACGTATTTTTTCCATAGCGCCCTCGATCGTTTCGATTTAATGAGATTTTTTTTACTATTATTTGTGATTATATTTTTAGACCGCGTTCAGTGTATTATATTATTATACATGATATTATGAGCCCGTTAACGAAAACAGACTTTCGCTTTACTTTTTTGGCGATCGTTCAAAGTTTGATATGTATAATATAATATACATAAATGTTGGTATCTATAAAAAAATAATAAAACGCTTCGTATATTATATATAAAAATAAGATATGGAGGCATAATGAGCTTATTATTAATAATACGTTGTCGGTCCTACCATTTTTTCCTACCTGTACTAGTTAATAATAATGCAAACAATTTATATTATACCATTGACTACATAATATTTTTGAAATATAAAATAATGCAATATTGAAGATTTGGGCTTATTAAATTTTTCAGAAAATAAAAGACACACTATACATTCATATTTACATAAAAGGAAATTAGTAAACTATTATTATTCAGGTTTTCGATAAAAAAATACTGAAAATCAATCGGTGTAACAATTTTGTATTGAAACTAAAAAATTGTCAAATAGAATTTTGATTTCAATTTTTTCTAATAGTTTTTATCAATATAGTATGGATGTAATGTATTGCAGTATAACAATGAAAATCTAAACAGTAATCAGCCCTGCACGCGTATTGGTAAAAAAATAATATTCATATTTTTTTATTTAATATGGACAAGTTGTGCAGATTATAAGTCTATAATAATATAATGTACCTAATACAACAACACGATATCATATTATTCATATTGTTAAACATTATGCGCATAGAAAACGATAATATGCAATTTTTTCCGCATTCGTTCGTCACAAAAACCCCGAAAAACAATACCGCATAGTCTCTGCAGTATTGTCATTGGCACATAGTATTTGATACACATTGTTGTCTACGTTGTACGACAAAGAGGGTATGACAATATTGCAAAATGCTCGTTCAGCGATAATATTTTAAGATACGCGGTGGCGAGACGGTGGTGGTCTGACTGTGGCGCGCGACGGAGGAGGTGCGCCCACCTTCAAGTCGCCACTACAGCATGACATATGGAAGCGTCGTAAAAGAGGCGTCGTACCCACAAATATTATGTCGTTGACTTGTCGTCGAAACATATACATACATATAGCGAATGTAAAACCAATTCATAAAGTAATTTTTTTACGGCAGACGTTGAGCAACTGTTGGTGTTCAACCTGGAGCAGATAATATCGTCGTCGTGTTTGCACCTCTATCGCGTTTTTAATGAAACGCGATCGCGACCGACGGTTATTCGATAAATCAAGTCAGCGGCACACACAGCGACAAAATTACTATCCATTATTAAGAAAAATCGTATTTTACCTATAGAGCGAGTCGAACTGAACTCGGGGGCCTATAAGTCCAGAGTGGCGCCGTTCGAGGGATGCAAGCGAGTAGGTATGACTTAACCGATCCGCGTATTTTACCACAGTTTTGACAAATCACTACCGCCCAATATGTAACGAAATACACGAAGACGATTAAACTTCGGCCCCGTCCAACCCATTAGTCGATACCGTCTACGTTGACACAGCGGGAACTCGTCGAAGATGATTGCGCGATACCATCCATTAGGGATATTTTTTCGGGATGAATGAAAAGACCGTTGCTCGCCCACAGCGATATCATAGTACAGTCAAGTATAATATGAATGAATGGCTGCCAGTTGTACATAAATAATCGTGTGGTCTCGTCCGCGGATATTTTTGACGTACATAAATAATTAGTTAACGCAAAATCGTGTTGCAAACGCAAGACGCTTGTCGTCCATTCGCAATTTGCCAAAAAAAAAATTGGCAAGTCCCCGAGGAGTTATACACGACATATATAAAAGATTTTTCGGCGTTTAAACGGATTTTTTTTTATTCAAGTCTCGTTAATGGGTTACATTAAACAGCGTGTGCCGATTTGATTTGGCCCTTTGATGATGGGTGCGACGTGCCGATGGCCGCAGAGTTGCCTCGATTTTCCGCAAAATGATTATAATATACGCAGACAGAATGATAATCGCGCGAATGTGTTCGGTGTGGTTTTCGGTCGGTCGCGTGCGCCAGCCAGGGTGTTGACGTCGTGTTTCGGAAGTCGTTAAAACCGCTTCTCTAAACTAAACTTGTGAAATGTAATAGTTGTATTTTTAAACGTGACTTCATCGCCGTTTGTACATGGGGTGACAAGTTTTTATTTTCACATGGCTACAATGAATAATACAGCAAACGCTTCGTGTTATCGGTCATGGTTTTATACATTATTTTCCAATAATATATATATTTCACATTTCGTCGTAGGTACTGCATGAATGCAATTTATACGTATTTTTGGTGCAGCTGAAACCGTGCGTTCTTGCACTTAGATATTTTTTCAAAACTAAAAGGTATATTACATTTTAAAACCTACATCGTGTCGTCTCTAACTTAGTATACAATTTAAAATACGTTAAAAATTCATAAAACGCTCCGTATATAATAAATTACGGTTTCAATGGTTTCAAGTTAATATGATTTTTTAGTGAAATAATTTGTCAACAAATCGAGAGAAAAGAACAACTAATTTACTAATTCGTATAATCTAGAAATTTGAATATGTTTTGTGTTTTTGCTAATATGTATTACTTTCTATCATATATTTTTAATGCTCAATAATTATAATTTATTGGTTTGCTTTAAAATCAAAATAACATAATACTGACATACAGATCAATTCTCCATTTCAAATCGGTAAAAAAGGATTTTGCTTAAAGTCAGCAATAGGAATTCCGTAGTAAGGAACGAGTATTGTCGAACATTCCCTGTATTGGACACTGATGTTATTTATCCGTATAGCGTTTTATAAACCATAACATTTTGTACTTGTTATATTGTATAGAGTCTACATTTTGAATAGTTAAAAAATCTTAGTTTCGAATGACGAAATTTATTTCATTATGTACCTATCAAGTCCCAATTAAATTTCAGATGTATATGGGTTAATCAATTTTTAAGAAGTAAAAACTTTGATCACAGCAACGATGCACGCGACGCAATTATGCACATTTCCCGAACTGTTAAATCCATTGTATCATTATATCGTTGTGCAGTTAACCACTGCGAAGAAACGGTATTATGGTTATTAACGCTAATTTATATTTCAAACAATGCACATCATTCACGCAGTCGAACTCGAGCCTAACTTGTATCTCGAATATAAAAAATTCTCCTCATAACACTTGTTTGGTTTTTGATACATCGATTTCTCCCCATCCCATCACCATTAAACTCCGAGCTACAGAGGTCGACTGCAACTTGCAAGTACATACCACTGTAAAATAATCTACATAACATAATAGTATTCGTCGCACGGGTTCGGTTTTCGTTGATTCTTACCGGCATTTTTCCCGCGTTCGTGCCGTCCGCTGCTGAGCACAACAATATATCGATTTATGAACCGCACGAGACTCGGATCTTTATGATGCTTTTCGAGCGCACAGTCTCGTGTCTTCGACGTGCAGCAGTCTGCTCGCGGTATTTGATGATGTCCGGCGATTGTCGTCTTCGCACACCTCACACTAGTCACACTCAATCCTACAGCTGTACCGCGAATTTATGACGATAATATAAAATACTCTATGAAAACGTAGTCACTGTCACGGATCGGAAGCCGCTACGCGTCTGCCCACCGGTCCCTCGGAGACTAGGGTCTTTATACGCGGCGCGTGCGTCCGGCCGCCGCCACCTGTTTATTTTTAGATGCTGTTTAATTGCCCGTCGAGATCACGGTGGAGATGACTTCTCGGCAGAGCACTTGCGCCGCGCCGCCAATGCAGATGTATAATAATAATACCCATGTATATAATATGGGGTGATCCATTTATAACCGGCCACGCAATCATTTTCCGAGGAGTAAATATTAAGTTCACCAAAACTTTAAAAAGCTATTTGTTTAAATACCTACCTACTTGATATTTTTCACCTTCACCGACATTTTTAGATAAGTAAGTCTTTTACCAACCTAACCAATTCATTCGGCTATGCAGTAAAAATATGAACAGGTGCTATCATTAAAAAATCCAAATGACTTTTCCCCTATTCCTGTCCCACAATTATGTTATCTATTTGCATGCGATCTAAATTTCTCATTGTATTAAGAATAATTAGGTACTGATTGCAGTAAATTAACGAACAAAATAAGCGTTTATTTTTTTAATTTCTTTTTATCCAATGCGTATAGTAGAGTAGTACTTTATGAGTATGGTTTTTCTAAAATCGTATAAATGATGGATTAAAACAATTAGTCTGTACGTACAATAATACTCACTCAGTAAAAGTACTGATATATGTATACCTAGTAATTAAATTTTTTATTTTTGTAAAATGAAGAAAAATCTAAAAGTGATTTTCGAAATTATTATTAATATCTTCATGTTTCCACATCATATACGAGTGAACTAACATGTAGGTAATAATATTATGACCAGTAATATACTTCAATATAACATAACAGTACAGTTGTTTATCCACCAATTTCAAAAATCAATTTTCCATTTTTTTACATTTTACAGAAGAAAAAAATTTAGGGGGAGGGGAAAGCTTATGCTTGTGGTAGGTATAGTATTTGATTTTTTGTTCGTGTTATACACAAATTGTACAGTTTTAACTTTTTAAGATAATATTTTGTATCCATTAAAAACACACATTTAAATAGGTAATAAGTGTCACTTGGCGCTTTCAATTTACCGTCTGCTATTTAAATAACACTCACAACTTGCGATCTACATCAAAACAAACACACTCCCGCGCGCAACAATCGCGTCACCTATAAAAAAAAATGTTATTCTTTACCCCCTCCCTTAGTTTCTACACTACACGACGGCCATTAGGTGTAGAAGTATAAACACAATAATATTATGTAGTACGACAAAATATTATATTTACTGGGTAGACGATACAAGAAATGCAGTTTGCCAGCGTTTTGGCACCCGCAATACAAGTGGATTCGGACGATTTGACGAAATTGTATAATTAATAATAATAATGATGATATTCAGTATATGTACGTGTAACATAAATTTCACGGTCGGAACCGCGGCGGATGAATGAAATAATAATAACGACACGAAATAATATTAGCCGACAAGTAAGGCCTACAACAGTATAAAAACAAACGGCTTCCTCGCATAAGTGGTTGCCAAAACGTCTTTCGATATACGACGACGACGTCGTTTGATCGATCGGTCGATCGCGGATCCGCGTGCTTGCAGGTGTACACATTGCAGCGACATAATATAAGAAAACATATTAACATAACATAAAAGTTTTTGTTGAATTTATTTTGTGAAGTTTTCGATTAAATGTATAAATTATAAGAACTTTACGTCGAGACATCTGTCTTAATAATCGCACAACTTAATATTATATACCTACTATAGTTTTCATTTTTATTCTCTGTTAATTGGTTATTGCTGTGTTTTAAATGTTAATCCAATCACAACTAAACAGTCGTTGAACACGTTTTTGACATTTGGTAATTCAACATTCGATATTGTTCGAGCTACGAACTCGATGGTGTTTTTACGGGTAAATGCATGTGTACAGAAGTTAATAATTAATAGTATATGTATAAATTGAGTACACACACAAGGACTAATAGAGAGTTAGACGCATTTAATTTTTAATTTTTTCTACTTGCCCAATGCAAAACTAATTTTCAACATAAACAACTAATAAATATTATCGACATTTCCAAAAATGAACACACTCAAATGTTTTTGGACGTTGTTTAACACCAGGGTTATTCAAAATGTAATTTATTTTGAAATCGTTGAATATATGTTTCTAAATTAACGAACCTAATTTTTAAAATGATTGTCTTACGCTAAAAAAATTAAAAGTACAGAAATAAGTTTTAAATGAGATGATTTTACAGAATCCAAACAAGAATTTCTAGGGGAAGTCTTTCAATTCAAATACGATATTTTGATGACAACCGAATAAATACAAAACTATATTCGATGTTCAATTGACTTCTAAGTCCAAACTATTTATTAATTACAATAATGATTAGTGTCTTAAGCCATACAAAAATGGTAACGTCTCTTTTAATACACATACATTACTCTACCCACTCTACATAGACGTATACTGAATATTATATTATTTTACATTATAATTTACTAAGTTGAATGTCGACACTGAACAGTGGGTCGAATAATAATCCTCCATAATGGAATATAGGTATACAACGTGTGTTAATGGACATAACGTAGGAAAAAATAATAATCTTAAAAATAGGATGCACGTCGAAAGTGTGTAGAAGTAATTATGTAATATTTTCATCTCTCTTAGTGTTTTATTTTAAACAAAATAATGTCGTTAGCACAACTGGGATATTTGGTGGTGAATGGCGGTGCGTTCCAGTCGGTTAATAATAGACGCCAGATAATAACGTCTCGCAGCGCCAAAAGAAATAATGCTGGAAAAAACTACATACGACATTAATAAATCATCAACCCCAAATAGATAAGGATAAAAGTATAAAGAAGTTGACGAATTATGTACAATAGAAACATTTTCAATCTAGTCGTTGGACGGTTTTAAATTTTTCCCTTCAAGACGAACTTACGAAGAACGGCACATACTAAGCTTGAGTTTAAACAAAACTATATATTTTAAGAACCACTAGACTCATATAATGTCTACAGTTTACTTGGATTATATTCGAAAATAACCAGCACTGTTCGTGTTTTCGTGATTTACAAGAAGCGTATGATAATATTCTGAACAGGAGAGAAGGAGATCGATAATTCTATTTCTACGAATTGCGTTGATTCAAAATTGAATTCGGAAAGTTTTCTAAATATATTCCTTCATTCTACCCGTTTCTGTAATATTACAAGATGGATACTACCCCGAAAACAAGTGTAGCTCCGATTACCGGTCAAATATAGTCGTTTATAATGTATAATCACTAAATATATATATTTGATATTTCATAAAATAAATATGAATGTAGCCAAAACGGAAAACAAATTTTAAATTGTTTAAAAGTTGTACGTAGAGTAATCTCCTTTTTCCTGTTTACGAAAGCATTAATTGTTAATATAATTGAATAGCATACGAATGGCGTACGGTCGAGTGTCAATCGACGTTTCCTTTTGAAAAAACAAACAAACAAAAAATAGGAATAGCGCCAAAAATACATTTTCACAATTAACCTAAATTATTGCGACTGTAATATTATACAAGAAATTGTTCACTGTGTCGTACAAATGACTCGACGCTAGTGATCAAAAATCCGACTTCACAGGAACAATAATTCATACAACTAGATTTTAAAAGGGAAAAACAAACTCGACGCGGCGGCGTTATTAAAAGCTTACAAGTGACAATAATTAACTGAATAAAAAGGCGGATCCAGGAGAAGCACTGGTGGCAAGTGCCCTCCCACCCCCGTAAACATTACAATGATACAGTTTTTTAATAAATTATTAAAAATTGGTATCATAAAATGTTTTTAATTTAAGTTCTCCCTCCCTCCGTATACAGATTCTGGATTTCTGAGATTTCCGCCCTTGTTGTACAATGTAGTACATTCAGGCAATAAAATGTAAACGATTTTAATGTAACTACAAAATCCATTCAAAATTTTAATTTAATATTTCCATTACTGAAAACCACGGCATCAATAAATTAAGGTTGACAAACATTATGAAATAAGAAAACATAATATCTATTTATACTTTATACTAAAATTGTTATAGAAAAATATTTGATTGGATACACAAAATATGTACCTACTTTACGAATTATGACTATTGATAGTAGTTGATACCCAATAGACCACTTAATAATATGGCCCAAAATAATCGTCAAAAACAGTTGGTTCTTATTTTTTCTCGAGATACCGATAGTCCTTTTAATATCATTGTCACGAAGGTAATAATAATGGATGTTTATTGGAAATTGAAATGTTTAACTCTTAACACTATTGTCTATTGACATGCGTATTCCTCAAAAAAAAATGTATCACCTTACCGAGCTTACTTATATATCAATGTACATTGTACATCTCCGTATCCGTACATCTCCTTTCAGCAAGAAGCAACCCACATAAACTTTGAAAATTACACAAATTATCCGTTTAAACAGCTCGAGTCACAAAATATATGAATAAGAAAAAAGCTAGATGAAAACAATCAAGGTGAGACACCCACCCGGCCGTGCTGAACATTTTTGATATGATAAAATTAAAATAACCCTTTGGGTACAATATTGTTTAAGCGTAACATCAGGCGACTTTTGGCAAACACCTCGTTATAAAATATATAACTAATGGGCTTTTCGTGTACAACAGACGTTGAATACTTCAACGAGAAAGGCCAACCCGTTTAAAAATAGTGTTCCTCGATTAAATCTAGAAAATGAATTATATTTCGATGTTCTAAACGTCTTAATGATATATTAATATAATATAAATACACGTTGGATTGATCTCTATAAGGTCACGGTGATATTTCGAAACTGTCATTATTTAATCGTTTTCGATAAAATATTTCTAAAACTATTTCAATAAATCGATAAGCATACCTGCATACCAATTGAAAAAAAACACCAAGTAAATTAATTAGTATACACTATATACTACTTTACATGGATGGATAAGCATATTTTTTTATATTATTTCATATTATACGAATTTTT